GCCACAGTGAGGATCACGCGGTCCCCTTCCTGGAAGGCGAGTAACACCGACCTTAACAGGAAGCAGCAACGAACAAGCATGTGATCCGAATTCACATGAGTGTTTCAGAACGATCACAGTCAATAATTCCTCCATTCCATCTATAGGTAGTAACGATGTGGTGTATCTGTATTTCAGGTTGGCTCGCACTCGGGGGCTACCATGCGGCCAATTGACCTCGGTTGTTTCGAAAGTTAGTACTGTACATAAACGGTATTTGGTCAGCGCATGACCGTAGCCAGTGTGCACCGTTGTTCGTTCGTCTCGATTCCGGTCCTCAACGACCATCCGTTGGGGCCTCAGCGGCGCCAAGTCTACCTAATTGCGCATTCATATCTCCGGCAACATCTGAGTTCAGGTTGCCGCAAAAGCGGGATCAAGGCGCCTTAAAAACTGTCGTTGAGTATACCAGAACTACAGTGTGTTGGGTCGTAAGCAGATACGATGAACAAGCAGCGGTAACGGAGTACTATCACAAATATTGCAAAACAAACCGCACAGAAACGCCTATCAACAGGTAACCATTCAACCAAGTACCCTTCAGCTCGGTGGCTCAGAACAATGTCAACAACAGTAGATCCAGCACCAGCGGCTTCTAAATCACCAGAGGTGCCCAACCAAAAGTGACAGAACTGATGAGAAAGTCAGTTCAACAGTCATACATGGGTCCTAAATGCTCGTTTCAGATAGACAGTACACATCAATAGAGAGCGAGTCAATCGTACATGCAAGAGCAGTCTGTTGTCCAGTTTGTTTCGGATGGCGAAGGTTACAGACTGCTATATGAGCTAAGAATCGGGATTTGAAAGATGATTTTTAAGTGTCCGCAGCCGTGGCGGCACAGCCAACCATCCACGTTTCAGCTACGGGCAATGTGTTTATCAAAATTTACGGAAGGGCCTACGTAGATGGCGCTAGCAACGGGGCGGAGAGGAAGAAGAACGAATATGTGAAAGAGAAAGGAGGCGTCAACAGCGGCTTGTTTTTGCTTGTCCGCCCTGCTATGTGCAGCAAGTAAGGCGACCCGGCTGAGGGTAATACGCGACCTCCGATGTGACATGAGGTTGTTTGTAAGTGTGCAATTCTTAGTTGCACGTGGACTGCGATACCGCCGGTTTATCCACACCTAGAAAGAGGGAAGCTTAGGGCCTTCAATCGAAGCTCTTGGATAAAAAACCTGACCGTCGAACATTGATGGCCTAAGTAAATAAAAAGTAATCGTTCAGCTGTCGTACCCTTTCGGTGCTTAGTAGTTTGCATTTTTAAGGAGCAAGTCGATACTTGTCCTAACATTCAACCAGGTGATTGTTGGTCAGATCCCTAAGTATTGACCAACTTGACATAAGAGGCTGCGTGAATGTTACACGTACACTCTTCATCAAAACTCAACGGGTTATGGAGTTTCGAAAAACCGCCATGTTGCGGTAATTATCAGGCTGCTTTTGAAGACAATAATACGCACTGCCGCTTACCTGCCGTGCAACTGTCAAAATCGTCAAGTTCGCTAGGAAGTGAGACAAACATATTTCATTTCATTTGCTACTTCGCACTGGTTTGGGGATCATAAACCGTAGTTTATAAATCCGGGTATAGTGACCTTCAGACCCCATTCCTGCTGACTCTGCTGCTTCAACTGAATGATTGTTTCCTCAGGAGAACTTGAGAAATGGTCCTGCAACTCTAGTGAAATGATGACTATATTCTCCAGCAGTATGCACACAATGACGTTGCTCATTGTCATCCATTTGGAGTTTCTAGTTAACTAATTTCGAGGATACAATGACAGACTCTTGTCCGAAGGAATATGCGAATGATTGATGTATGAGAGAATCAATTATGAAGCAACTGATGTTCACGGATCGATATGCAAAAGCAAGCAAAAAGCGTGACTATCCATCAACACCTATATTTGTTCCTGGTCTCCGGGGGGCCAGGATGATTTAGGATGGACGCTAATCTGTTCAAAGGCTGGGTTTCCTACACAGACGAATTAGCGCATTAGCTCAGCTCAGACCGAAAGTCCGAGGGCGTGTAAAAGGTCAGGACGTTGTGGATGTGACACGATTCGGTGAAGAATTAGTGTCAAGGGTGTTCTTGCTACCACTTTCTAACGCGAGTGTTGGGAGCGTGGAAACTGATTGCTTGTGATAAACCAGCACTTGGCTCTTCTTTTCCCGTATTGTCTTTTGACATTTAGGTGCTGTTGCTACCATCACCGTTGATTACTGTATTTTTGAGAGCGCTGAATTACTCTATTGCCTTCAATACCCAAACGAGACTCTAACCAGCACACTTTGAATCTTCAGGAATAATTAGGTTTCTTATCGAAACATTAAGTGCAAGAGGCCATTCTGCTGATCTCTAGTACCATGCCCACCGAACGACTGTCTACCAGGAGTGGCAGTACGCGGTTTACAAGGTTTTCAACCGTGCAACTTGGTATGGCAAATACATCAGGTAAGCACATCCATCGAATGGGTTACTTCCAATCATGAAAGGTATTGCCGGTGCCCAACATAATCCAACCATCCTAACTTCTAACGATACCCCGTTGCCCCGCACATCACGCCGCGCGTGCAAGGACTTGGCGCTTGCCCGTCTGCTGAGCACGGTTGATCTAGATGATGGAAGGGAAAGGCCTCAGAGACGAAGTTCCACAACGGCTGCCTATACAAAGCGTCCGGTCCGTTCTGCTTTAACTTCGTGCAGCCTGGAGAGTCCTAGTAAGATATTCTAATACATGTTATCTTGCCATCCAGTTCGCTGTCTACACACTTTTTATTTTGCGAAACGAGGGATTAAAGAAAAAACGGCATTTAACCAGCCAACTTTAGGTCAGCGATAGTTTCTTTTCTGTTCCTATGGAGTCGTTTTTCACCACGAACCAGCTATCGAGTGCAGCAAACAGTCATCTCAGGAGCTCTGGTCTGTTCATGCGACGATGTGTGAGGTACTAGGCGACGTGTACTTTCTCGCTGAAGTCCATAGAACTTGGGAGCATGGTCACATGCACTTTGTTGCGGCCGGGGTGAATTCAGACCCTATGGCCGTACTAATACCATCAGTACACTCTTCAGGAGTGGTCAGAACATGTCTTGAGCTGTAGTCGACGAGCTCGTGGTGTAAGTCCTATACAGCATGCCATCCACAACTGGTGTCCCTACTTAACAGTGAGACCCGTTTTTTAGTGCCTCTGCCATAGAGTATTCAACCACGTCTATCACCTGAAGCCAGTACATTTAGTAAATACACAGATTCTCGGTGAGTTAATCCTTTCTTAGGAATAATAGTTATAGTGGTATTCCCTGACAAGATGTACCATGTTAGATCGACGCATTTGTTTTCTGTCGGGGGTATTGGGTGTCGCAAACGCGTTTAAACCTGGGTTTGTTTTGGCTCGTTTTGATGATGTTACTGAAAAAAAGTTCTCTCTGAATACCGACATGAGAAGGTAAGGTGATACTATTTTATTCACTAGTGTCAACCGCTAGCGTGAGCCTTTTGAACATTCATTCACCGCAGACGGTTTCGTGTGCTTATTCTCCACCGAATCTCACTCACCCTAAACTTACATTTATCTCTTCTTCTCTCCTTAGAAATAAATGGACGTTTGCTACTGATTTTATTTAGCATTATGGGTATGGTATGCATCTTTGCCAGACCACGCAATATCTGAAATACAAGCTAGAAATAGTGCAAACTTGCTCACTACTGTTGGTCACGGATGTCCCTCCGGCTTCCACGCATTTGAAGCAGTCGTTATTAGCTCACTTCCCCGGCCTTCGTTTTACCAGCTCACGAGTTCCAGTCTTCACAATCCATCGCATAAGGTGGGCACTTCTTCCTGCTCTCTTGGAGGCCTTGCACCCCACTCTACTTGAAACCAATTCCTGGAGTTAAATCTTATGAGTGCACAGGTAGAGTCATTAAAACCAAGTACTACTCAGTTACGATGCAGAATTTTTTGAGCTGAGGACATCCGCTGATATGGCAGCCTGTCGTAGTTAGTGGGGAACCTTGCAATCACAAGCCGGCTAACCACTCTGGGAAGTCCTGTTTTTGTACTTCCTGCCTCTTTCACCTCTCATCCGTTGCCTTACTGCTTTCTTTTTGTTGCCCTATCTTCTCTACGTAATTTATGGCTACCGATGGTAGTGTAAACCAATGCGCCTAAAGATGAAGCTAATTATAACGATTGATTATGCAGTTTTTCGAGGAAAACGTGCAGTTTACTCCGTAATCGTCTGTCAGCTGTAAAAATCCTCACGGAGCCACCATCCTCCAAGCTTGTTGGTTGGATCTCACTGATTTCTTATCAATATCAGAACAACCTGTTTCCTATAGGGCTCCCCTATTTACTGCTCGCTGACGGCATCTTTAAAACGATGAAAAGATACTAACTTCCTGTCCATGACTCGTATTCTTTAAGAATAAAGTTGTGACGCAGTAGTTGTTTCTAACTTTGTGACTGGCTATTGAATATAAACACAATTCGTTCGGACTATCCAAGAGAAATTCAGCCCCATTCCATGGCTCCAAGACACTAGCAAGCATCCTTCCTTTAGAAACCTGGTGAACGTGAAATGAAATTAGTGCGGTCAAAAGCCTACGAAAAATGAAGGGGTTGAGGGATGACTTATCCACATTGTTCGGGATATTTAGCTGACTCAAAATTGATGCGAATGCTTCTCTTGATATCTCATTGTTTGTTTATTGGTTATGACGCAGCTACTTCGTCCCAGTAAGTGTTCAGCCCACTGAAAGGAAGTTCCTTAGTTCGATCCTAACCGTAACTTTGGATATTGTCTGTATCTTGGGTCTCGGCCTTTCTCTGAATCGCATGGCATCTGTGCACTGGTTCAACGCCCTTGGATGACGCCGTTTTATTTTGTGTAATGGCTTATTTCCATTTATGGTTGGCGAAACAGTTTCACTAATCACATTTTCCAAACTGTTTTTAGGATATCGTCGATCGCGTGCAGCAGTATCCAAGCGGTAGGTTGGACTTGGAACTTCTCTTATTATTGAGGTTTTGTTTCTCAAATGCGCGCATTTCTTCAGTGGTACTCATTGCTCTTGCGGCCAGGCAATGCCGAGGGCCAGTGTGTTTGCGTATATTTCATTATGCGGTTTAGAATATCACGTTTAGAGTTAATCATCCAGTCGCACTCATTCGTTGGTGTCAGAAGTTCGGATGACGGCTGGAAAACATTTGAATCCTCTCTTAATAACCGTGTGATAGTTTATGGATTTCGCAGCTGTTATGTCATTGGTCTCCTCATTACACGATCAGCCCTCCAATATGACCGTTGCTCTTACAATGTCATAATAGGGAAGCTGTACTCAGGTTTCTTTGGATCTCTGTCAGCTCCGAACACCGAACTAATTATACGACGTACCGTATTTTCTCCCTTTTCCCATCTTTAACTGAAGCGATGTGGATGAGGACAGCCACCACAAAATGGAGAGTTCTAATGAATCGGTATCATCAGACGACACTAGTGAAACAGCCACTTCCGAAGAATCATCCCCATCTGATTCATCCGAAAGCGACTTTTTTGAGGACTGGAACAAACGGCGTCCCAGCAGGCGACCGAGGAAATGCCAACCGAAAACCCCCAAGAAGCCCCCTCCGAGAACCGAAGCAGTGAGTTTCTTCGTGATACAGTGTATGGAAATGCTTGTCAGTGTCCGTGCTTTTGGTGGCAATCAGAGGTAACTACTCTTTGGGACGTTTTTAGGAAGGATTGATGTGCACCTCAATGAGGTATACGCTTTTGGGATGCAGCATCATTTCGTTTTCTGTGTCAGCTCCTTAGGTGGTTTCCGCCGGGAACAGTCATCTTTTTTAATATCTGCATCGTGTTCAGTAGAGGTCAAATAGATTTTGTACGGCATGTATGGCATGTGTTTGGCTTGTCTATCGATAAATACGATCCCAATACCAGAAGTTTATCAACGATTCAACGTTTCGATCGCCTTTGTCACGAACAAAGTACTTGAAGGGGCATGAAAGAGATAAAGAGGTTGAATGTTGCTGGTACTGTTCCGCCTTCCAGAATGAAATTCCGAGATTTTCCCTGTGCTTGGCTGGAGTCGTTGTAATATATGACGGCTTTACGATGTCAGTAGCGTGCACGCTGTTAGTTTCCTCCAAGATCGTCTATTTGGGCATTTAGAGGTGTATGCACCCCAGAGTGTTTGCGGCAGAGTAACACCACTCCTCCTCCTTCAATGTTGCTGGTACCGTTCCGCCTTCCAGAATGAAATTCCGAGATTTTCCCTGTGCTTGGCTGGAGTCGTTGTAATATATGACGGCTTTACGATGTCAGTAGCGTGCACGCTGTTAGTTTCCTCCAAGATCGTCTATTTGGGCATTTAGAGGTGTATGCACCCCAGAGTGTTTGCGGCAGAGTAACACCACTCCTCCTCCTTCTCTGTTGTTGTGTCCTCACTTTAAATATGATTTAAGAAAACTTTATGGTTGTACGGCGGTGAATCATCTGTATCAACCCTTGTGTTGCCATCTATAGTGACGATGATGATGTGGGAATTAGTTGCACCATATCATATTATTACATTTTGAGATGCTGTGAGTAGCGATTCCCAACAAAGGTAAAGATAGTGGATCTGAAGCCTCGTCTACCGTATGTCACTGGTGCAGAAAAACACGAGGTAATGTAGATGACTGGTTTCACAAGTATAGTCGATGGATAGCCAAGGGCAACATGTTGAATAGGCTTAGCTGCCTTTCATTCAGGGGCACTTGAGTGGCACATCAAACTGTTGACCTTGTCACTCAGTGCTTCTGGTTATCGTGTCTGCATGATCTCCGTGTGTCACCATCTTCACGCAACTCCGTCTGTCGGGAATGGGCAGTCATGAACCCTGCCCACACACACTTGAGGCGGACACCGTAGTTTATGGGGTGTCGGCGTAATTAAAAGTACTGCACTGGTTGCCACTTGATGACCTTAACCCGGGCGTCCTGTTTGTTGTGTACAGAAAGCTGGGAAAATGAAATACTACTACTATCATTTATTTTTGAAGAGCATGGTCTCAAACACAAAAAGTGAATGCAAGCGATGAATGCGAAAGAGTAACAGGAGAATATGGGAGAAAAGAGAGAAACGTCTCATTCGAAATCATGACAAGGACAGTGCCAGTCTGATGAGGTGAATCCCAAAGTATGTAAAGATTTTGGTATGGAAACACGCTACTACTACTATTGTAACGGTGATACTACTGATCGGGAGGCACGCGAGTAGTATGTGTTGTTCGTAGAATTTCGCTTTGCGTCGACTGAAAAAGGGAATTCTGTTGCGGAATTCGTGGGGCCACTTTGTAACATTTGCTTGGATTTGACCGACGAATGAGTGGAGGCAACGAATCTCTAGGGAGACTCGTTCGGGAGAAGATCTGTGTCCGGTTTTTGTAACTAAGATGCAGATTAGAGTTTTGCTTCCCTGTTCAATGGTTTGTAACCGGTCAGTTGGCATTTCCGAGTAAATAACTCCGCAGCGAAGGCCTTCTTCCTTTCACTATTATCATTTATTTTTGAAGAGCATGGTCACAAACACAAAAGTGAATGCTACTACTACTAATACTACTCATTACTACCTGCATTCTCGTTGCATTCCTGTCACAGAGTTGCCCGTCTGTTGGTCAGAATTCATTAGTAGATCACAAAGTTCTTTGTGGCAAAAGTTTCCTCGGTGCTTCAGTGCTTTATGTTCTGATCTTTACACTAATTACACTACTAAAATATCCATTAGATTGAATCCCACATGTTTGTACATAGACGTGAATGGACGTCAGTATAATTGACATCGTGAAGTCAAATTTTCCAAGCGAACAACATTAGAAGAGGGACGTGGCATAAAATCATCATGTGCAACCTTATCAAACAGACTAGTTTTGTCATCGCTGACTTGTCCCTGGTACGCATGAAGTTGGAATATAGTTTCCCCGAAAGAGGGCATCTTCACCATCTGTCGGGTTTCTTATATCCTAGGTGTTTTCATTTTTCAGATTTCCTGCTTTGCAAGAAAACCGGTAGGTGGACAGTAGTGAATTCAGGCGCTGTTCACGCGACTCATCTTCGAGGTTTGGGTCCTGATGGTACACCGACGCTTGCTTGAAGATATTCCCTGATATGGACGCTCGTCGGCATCAGTTTCAGATGATTTCTTCTCCGATCTGATTATGTGTCTGGAGGTGTGGGCATGTCACATTATCTTAGCTGTACTAGAACCAAGTTTCCACCACTCAACATTTATGTCCCCACTTTAAGGCTTTTAAAATAACTCCATAGGGGCAAAATGGCTCAGGTGGTTAGGGCGCGAATTTACTTACCGGAAGGTCTATGGTTCGAACCCGACCTCTGCCTCTCGACTCCCCCGGTCTAGGCTTGGGCAACCTGACAGTATCTCAGCCCTCGTGCTTCCTCCGGGTTGCATGGCAGCTAGGCGCCGGAAGGACGCTACGGATGAACAATAATAATAAACTCCAAATGCTCTAACAATGATGGCCTGTGTGTCGTCGCCTTTTGATCCGTGAATTAATTTATCTGCTCAGTAAGTCTAAACCCTCTGATCAGTTTTACTTGCTTGTTTTTAGTGTTCTGCAATGCGAATAGCCAAACCACCTAACAGTCTGTTACCCAAACGCACATTTAGTGTGCCTGCAAGAAAACACACTGCAGTCATGACCTCTGCAAAGTGAGTTCACCACTGATACATTTCGCCACATGAAAAATCTGTGCTATATACTGCCGCGGGTGCTCCAGTTTGCCTTATTGTTACCAGCCAATCTGGGGGCGAGATGGCCCAATGGTTAAGAGCGCGAATTTACTGACCGCAAGGTACGTGGTTCGAACTCCACCTTTGCCTCTGGAATTCCTTTGTCTAGGCTTGGGCAACCTGGCAGTATCCCAGCCGTCGTGCTTCCCTTGGGTTTCATGTCAGCTAGGCACCGAAAGGGTGTTGCAGCTGAATGATTATCTTATATTATTATTACTAGCTAATTTTGAGACAGCTGTTGAGACCCTTTCAGTTCTTTTGCATGTCTCATATTGGCCCCTATCACAATCATCGAGAACTATCGGTTTAGGTCCGATAGTTCATTTGTGGGGTTCGGAAGTGAAATACTAGAGGGTTTTTACTTCATTTGTGGAGCCCTTTCGAGTCATAGCTACCACGCAACTTAGGTCAAGTTCAAAGCTGCATTCATCCATAGGGGATGAATTTTCTGAGTTACGTGAAACATACGATATATATGAAGGCATGAATATGCATCTGTGCTAAAGGACGCGCGTAAAGACCTTCTTGGGCAGAATTGCGCCTAACGAACGTGTTGGCGAAATGTCGGAGAGTGTTTAGATATAGACAGGTATTTAGATAGTCCGTAACCTTAAGGCCGATGACGATTTCAAAAGGTTAAAGGGAGCAAGGTGTGATTTCCATGTGACCTGGATATTATGGAAAGAGCTGTTGAATGTTAAGGGCTGCTTGTCGAAATGGAATTTGCCTAGAATAACAGCACTTTGCTATTCAGGTCATTTACGTTAAACACAGGCTCCATTTGTTAAGAGTGGCTGAGGTAAGATGCTGTAACATCATGAAGAATAGGAGTTGTATCAGAACTGAGAGAACAAGCTACTTCTTCAGTACAAGTAGTTTCCATTGACGGACAAATCATTGCTTTATTACTGTGCAGTCGTGTGATCTCCTTCGGGTTAAAATCAGAAATAGAAGACCGAATGCTAGCACACCCAGAATGCTAGTACTCTTAACACTTAACGTCGAGGTCGGTACTTTAGTTTAAAGTCGAATACCGATCGACGGATGGCTTGTTCTCTAAAAGCCGAGTTTGCTACTTTATCTGTATCTCATACAACTTACAAACCCTATTGAAAATGCAGGGACGCTTATTAAGTCGATAGAACAGACGTGTCTGACAGAATGCGCAGCTGGACGCATTCCGGAGCGTGTGATTTGGACGTTGTTAAGGTAACAACCAACGGGTCAGAAGTTAGTTCGTAACTTTATATCACCGGTTGCCAGACATACCGTCGCCAACTTGACCTTACGAAATCTCAGAATGTTGTTACACAACTCCAGGGTCTTAGCCATCCGCGGAGCGCTACTTATTAACTGCTAAAAAACTGTACGCAAAAACACGAAGCGAGTCATTTGGTTATCATGACGTTGATTTTCATTTAACAATGTAAGTGATTATTGCGGATGAGGATAATGGGAGGGTTAGTATATCGCAACATACACCTATCTGTTCTAATGCATTGGATGAAGGGATACAACGTACCCAAGAAGGATATCGTTACCCCTATAAACTTCGGTGTCAGGGGAACTCATCCGCCTCATTTCTTGATCACATTTTATGTTGATCGTGAATAAGACGGCTTCGTAGGCTGTGTGGAACTGTCTTGGGCAGAACATCGATAGCACAGGCTGTATAGTTGACGGTGAGTTTGCTCTCTCGTTTAGTTGGGCAGTTTTAGCTCGCGGATTCATTCGCCAACCTAGTTGGCGTGGTTCTTCTTATAATAAAGTGATGCGGTGCCTCATCTAGACTCTGCCATGTGAGTTTAGGCACCGTCAACTAAGACCGACCTAAGTTCTGGTTTTGCTAATTGCGTGTTTTCCGCTGCACTGTTAGTAATATCTCTTTTCCCCCTGGAAACGGTATCTGTACCGCTTCGTAACTAGGTCGTTACTGATCTTCCACTTTTTATTCGTAGTACCGCTGTTGTTGGTGAAAGTCTACCTGGTCGGGAACAGGAATTCGACAGTATCTACACTTTCATCAGTGGTAAACTTCTTCAAGGCACTGGTGGGTACGTAATCCCTATTCCTTAAACTTCTGGTCAATAACACTACTCTGTTGGTCCCTCATTACCACCAGTATGGTTTACTTCTGAAAAGCGTGGTCACAAACATAAAAGTCAATGCAAACGAAAGATGTGGAACGGTTACAGGAGAATATTAGATAAGAAGGAGAAGCATCCCATTCGAAGCAATGCCACTAAGAGTTTCTGTGAAATAAAACAAATCCCAACGTATGTAAGAATGTTTGGTATGGAAACACGCGAGTAAAGAACAACAACTGAAGAAAGGACAAACAATGCTGAATACTTTTCAAGGCGCGATAAGCGCTAGCACAATCACGACTCACGTTAGGCACACTGT